TTTATTCTATTGTTATGTCTTGTTGTTTTTGGGCTAATCCTTGATTTTTTTCTCAAAAAGAAATGGGTCAATCGCTCAAAGAGGAATAGGTTCAGTTTTACTGGTAAAGTATTTTCTTGGAAAGATGTTAATAAAATGAATTTCACTCTTACGAGAAATACATACTATATGCTATTATTTGAAAAAAAAATTCCTAACTTTTTCCACAGTCAGTAAAATTGAGACGTTTTGCACTGTCCAATTGCAATAGGTACTAGCAACATAATGCTTCCATATTATTCTAATAGATAGATATTAGTGTAAACTGTCAACTCAAACCCATTCCACTTCTCCTCTAATCTCTAATTGTTGTTTCATGAATGCAGTATAAAATTGTCATTGGCAATATACTGGACTGATATTGAGATTGGATTCAAGAGTAGATCTGCAGGTTACAAATTATCTGGATTAATTTTAATGACTTAATTGCGTTCAGCGCACCAAACCGTTAATGGGTTGGGCACTACCTCAACAATTCCGAATATTCAGCATGAAGAACCTCCATTTCATTAAGGCATGCCAAAGTTATTGCCGTTCGGAAATTGAAATAGATACCTCGCCGGTATCGGCAGATGGGGCGGCCGGGGACGCGCCGACATTGCACGGTATACGTCCACCGGTAATATAGAAAGTTTCTTTGAAAACCCATTATTGCGCTGCCTTTAAGGTAATTTATTGGAAAATTCAGTTGTAAACAATAAATAACAAATTATGTTATATAGGAATTTTTAATATTTGCACCGGGACTAGATTACTAGAGGGAGACTTTGTACAAAAGTCGATTGCTTGGGCACCTCTATCCCATTCGTGTTTCAACCGTGAAGCAGTTGTGTTTGCATGGCTGTGTTTCGGTTTGAAGGGTGGGATATGGCGTGAATTTACAGGGTACAGGTTCCTTCCTATTATAATATATGTACACCAAAAATTAAAGCGATTGGTTAAGCCGTTAAAGCGCTATAAGCTAACAAACAAAGAGGGGGGAAGGGATTGTTAGTAATGTGGACTACCGGCTCCATTGCAAGCAATATACCCTAACAGGTTGACCTCCACGTGGTTCCCCCTGGAAACCATCATGGTTAATTTTTTAATAACTTTATCACGATGAGCAAACTTATCTGCTTCATCATATATCATCCCTTACTGGTGCCCCGCCAGCGTATACTGATAGCTCAGACGCAGTTACCATTCCATTAAAGAAACAAATAAAGAAACTCATTTTTAAATTTATAATATTAGTAAGGATTTAAATGCCGCGTTGTAGTTAAAGATCTTGCCATACAAGTTGACGGTGAAACAGATACAATATATAACGAAATTAAACCAATACCAATCGGCGATAGTAGTTCCAATAATATATAAAATTCTGCACTGCAACTAAAAGTAATTTACATTTTGCCATCGTCTCTTTTTGATTAAAGAAATCAAAGAATCTGAATAATAAATTTTTCGTCATTTTCCTTTCAGACAGTTTCTCCCCTTTCATTTGTATTATAGAAGGAATCATTTAACTTTGAAAGTTCGAATTTATGTGGAAATGATTTTGAAATTACTTTATTCTGTCACTAGCTTTTACCTGCGGATATGCTCACGTATATCAGTGTCCTGTATAAATATCCTGTGTTAGATGTGCCAATGAAAAATTATTAGGTACAGAGACATAACACTTTAGTCCTCAGGAATGGCAACGCATCAAGGCTATCACAGTATACTCTGTTAAATCCTACTATTCATGTCTATAGGCGACAGTCACCACTTTCCAACAGATTGTTTGCCATTCCAAGTTGCATAAAAAACATGTAATAGTACATACATCAGCAGATAGCAGCCTAGGGAAATCTAAGTTGTGAAGGTCCTTGTGAAACAAAATTTTTCTTAAAGACTATTGTCAAAAAAGGATGGAAAATATAGAGCTACTTGAAGCTGTATGTACTGTGTTAGTACCTATGAGAGGATATTTTTTTCGGATAATTTTTTAAACAACTCCATTACTAACAATCCCTTTTTCCCCACATCCTAAAGATTGAGTCGTAGAGAATGCCTGTAGTATTAAGTCCGCTTTTTGTACAAAATTGCCAATTGACTAACATTTTATTGGTCAATTGATCAAAATAAATACATTTATTTATTTGAGGAGATTCTAAATGAAGTTATTTTTGTGTGATTTGTACGATTTTTAAGATATGCGTACATATATAATATACTGATAATTAATTTATAGTTATAATTAAAATGCATATTTAAGTCTGACGACGTTCTCCGTACCAGGTATAATATATCGTACATTGTATGACAGTGGAAAGTAAATGTAAACGACTTCTCTTTCAGTAAACCCAATGATAAATAATGATAATATTGATCATTCATCATCATCATCATATCAGCCTTTAATTATCCATCGCTGAACATAAACCTTCCTTAGTTTTACCAGTAGCTGTCACTTTTGGCAAGTAGATTGGCAACCGCAGTTAGGTTTTAAAGATGTTTTAAGAGAAACGTTTTTGTCCATCCGTCGCCCTCTTTAGTCGTCTCTTACGACACCCACGGGAAAGAAAGGGATGGCCTATTTTTTACCGGGACCACATGGCGGGCACATCACGTTAACAATGATTAACAATACAAAATAAAAACTAACAAGATCTCATTTTGTATATTAAAATATATCTTTGTCTATTCACGAAAGGTATATTAAGAATTAAGAAAGACGAAAAGAATGGACGTTTCAGTAAATTAAACCAATTCGTTTCACCCCTCACCGAATTACACCGGGGGGCCGTTTTTAAATTCCTCTTCCAAGGCTGTAGGTAAAATGCGAATTATTTAAGCTCACGCTTAAGGGCATTATCTCGCTGACTCAATTAAATATATTAAATAATCACTTTTAGGGAAAAAAATCCTAAATTGATTTGATCATAAATTCATTAGGGAAGCGTTTTTGCCGTTACGTCCCAAATGGACATTAGACTTGATCCGTCGGATATTTAGGATCGATTATAAGATTATCCGTTAGCTGTATGCTCGATATGAAATAAATCTTGGTCTGTTTTTAGGTAGCGATAGTAAGTATGGTGGGCCGTATGCTTGTTTGCCACCTCAGTTGTATAAAAAAAAGTAATAATAGTAGTAGTTTTTATAGTAATTGTTCTTCTTTTTTGACCTTGCATGTTCCCGTTACTCGAGGTTTCAATTTACTTTGTTTTACAAGGCACTTTTTTCCACGTACAACCACTCTTTGAAATCAACTTCCTGCAGCAGTATTTCCGAATCGATACGACATCATAACCTTCAAGAACAGAGCATATTCCTTTTTAAAAGGTCGGCAGCACACCTGCAATGCCGTTGGTGTTGTGGGTGATCATGGGCGGCGGTAGTCACTTACTATCAGGTGAGTCGCATGCTCGTTTGCTCCCTGTGTTGTAAAAAAAAACCTATTTCATATCTCTATGTAATGTAGTTAGCGATATGGTTTGAGTTCTTTCCCTGCTACTTTTCTATGTATTTATTCCTTATTGCACAATAAAACTTTGTAAAAGCTTGCTTGGCGAGCTTAATAACATATAGCATTTTCTACCAGTTAACCATTATGTAAAAACAAATAGCATATAAAGAGCATAGGGGTGAAAGAGATGTGACGATAATTGTATCTTTGAAATGATTTTAAATAACTGTTTTTTTTTTTTAATTTATTAATACCACTTTAAAAATAATTATTTGTTTTAAGAATCGTTGAGAGTTTTCGCTCTTTCTTTAAATAAAAGTATAATGGTGTAAACTAATATTTGCTTTTTGTGAGAAGAAATATACACAAGTTCAGTACAGTTCAACTACAGTGTTATTATGGAAAATTTATTCGAAGACGAAATCCACGCATAGTGGTAATAAACGCCTAATAATTTAGATATTTTGTAATAACCAAAATTTTCCTGTATTGATGTTTATTTTGTAATCATTTATCTATATTATTTTTTTAATTCATGCTTTTCTCTCCTTTAAATGTTTTGATAGTTTCTCTATATATGGAAATGAAAGTTTATCAAGATTCTTGTTTATTATTGTTTTATGCTCGCTGCTCATAAACAATGAATAACTCGTTTATTTGAAAGAAAAAGTAATAACATGCAATAATAATATTATGATTATATATTATTAGATTTATGTGTAGATAATAAAGTATTTCAGAGGGAGACTTTGTATAAAAGTCGATTGCTTGGGTACCTCTGTTCTATTCGTGTTTCTACCGTGAAGCAGTTGCGTTTGCATGGCTGTGTTTTGGTTTGAAGGGTGGGATATAGCGTCAATTTACAGGGTACAGAGGATGGGGGTCAGGATATCATGGGCGAAACAGTATACTCTGTTATGTCCATGGTACTGCTCTGTCTATAGGCGACGGTTGCCACTTTTCATCAGGTAGGCCCTCAGCTTGTTTGCCATTCTAAGTTTCATAAAAAACCAACTCTATCAGTCAATAATAAAGCAAACAGTAATTTCACATTCGTGTAGTACTCCATCATAGGCCGCTCCTGAAGGCCGCGCCCCTATTACAAATAATCTGTCTGTTATTCGCCATAATACAAGGTCTGTTATGACGTGGTAGATTCGTGACGAAGCACTTATATGAACTTTAAAAATTAACATGCATTATTCACCAAGAGATTACAATGCGAGAAAACTGTTGGAAGACTACTGTGGGCGACAAAGGAAACCAGGAATGGAAATTGGAAATATGTATATAATAGTCAAAGGAACTTAGAAGACTAGGGCCGTAAAGGGAAGCCAAAAGGAAAACAATAGATATGCGTGTCAATTTCGAATTTGGTAAATAATAATATAGCTATAAATAATATATGTGGCCTGTACTCCACATATTGCCCACCCCGTTAGGCTCGGTACTAACAAATGTTCGTGGAGAACAGGCATACACGCATAACAGACAAATATCAAAAAATATTAAATAAAAAAACTATTTACACAGTGCTCAGCTTGATAAGTTTACGCGAGGGACGCCTAAGAACTCCTCCAGTTGTGGCTACGTCCGCCACACGCACTATTCCATCATGACCAGGAAACACTCTAGTTATACGGCCTTTAGGCCAAAGTCCCCGTGGCATATTCGCGTCAGCAATCAAGACTATGTCATCTACTGACAAATTGGAATATCGTAGCTGAGAGTTCTGGCTTCTGCGTGGTGTCAAACTGGGCACATATTCTTTGAGCCATCTAGACCAAAAGTGATCTGCTAATCTTAGGGCTTTACGCCAGTGCGATCTTCCTAATAAATCTCTATCGTTCAAAGACACGGGTCCAGGCAATCCAGAGGAGCGACCAAGGAGAAAATGGTTTGGAGTAAGTGCAGGTTCATCATCAGCTGCAACTGGAACATGGATTAATGGCCGTGAATTTATAACGTGTTCTACCTCGGCCAAAAGAGTGACGAGAATTTCTTCCTTAAATGATTTGCTCTTGACCGTAGCTGTCAACGCTCTCTTGACCGATTGAACCAGCCTCTCCCAACATCCACCCATGAAAGGCGACTGCGGTGGGATAAAATTCCATTCTATGCCGCGCGATACTGCATACTCTGCCACTTCTGTATGATTCATAGTTTTCCACATAGATCTTATTTCACGACTGGCACCGACAAATGCTTTGGCGTTATCAGAAAAAATCTTCTTTGGTACTCCACGGCGTGCCATAAAACGTCTAAGTGCCATTATAGCAGCATCCGCACTCAAATTGCCAACAACCTCTAAATGAACTGCTCTGATGGAAAGACAGGTAAAGAGCGCAATGTAGCGTTTTTCGTGTCTCCTTCCAATGGTAACGTCAACTGGTCCAAAGTAATCAAGTCCGGTGTTTAAAAATGGGTGCTGATGGTGTTCTAATCTGCAAACCGGCAAATCTCCCTCAGGTGGAATGGAAGATGAAGCCTTTCTCAGACGACATGCTTGACATCTAGCAGCGATTGAACGAACAGTAGGACGTAAGTGAAAAATCCAAAACCTTTGTCTCAACTCATTCACAACGGTCTCGTTATATCCGTGACAAGCCCAAACGTGATAGTAATGAATAAGTAAGTGGATAATGTGGTGACGACCATCTAAAATCGGAGGATACTTGACATCGTTACAGAGATCAGGCGTAGCAGATACTCTCCCATCTAGTCGAAGAAGGCCATCTGAAGTCTGCTTAATGGAAAGTTTTGCAATTTTACTGGATTTAGGTAGTGGTTCCCTACGTTGTAAGGCCGCAATCTCAGCAGAAAATGTCTCCGCTTGACATTGTCGCAATAAATGAAGCTCCGCAGACTTCATGTCTTTACAGAGAAGCGGACGTAGCCCACCCCTATTACGAAAACGATCATTATTATTTACAGATCTTAATCTACTTTCCTTAAGTAAACGTAAAAACTGATGAGCTCTGGCCGTGGCTCGTAAGAGCCGCAGCCAGCTACTAAAGTTTTTAGAATTTGGAACAACATTAAAATGAAGCCTGAAAATCTGCCAAAGAAGTTTGATGACACTTGAGGTCCTGACCAATAACGGGGACCGGCCCTTCGGGCTCTACTGGCCATTCCTCTTCAGGTGACATCAAAAAGGACGGTCCGTTCAACCATCTGTTAAGTTCAACCACACTTTTAGAACTCACGCGAGTGGCGTCATCTGCTACATTCTGATCGGACGGTACCCAACGCCATTCGCGCGGTAAGGTTGATTCTAAAATCTCTCCGACCCGATTCGCGACAAATGCTTTATAGTTACGCGCATCACTACGAATCCACGACAAAGCTACGCGCGAATCACACCAAAAATAACGGAAATTGATTTTTTGTCTCTGCTCCCGAGTGATTGTGTCTGCAAGGCGTACCCCTAGCAAAGCTGCCTGAAGTTCCAGCCTAGCTATAGCTGTTGGTTCAAGAGAACTGACTCGCGATTTACTCATAACAAACGCGACTTTTACCGAACCATCACAATACGTAAGTCGCCAGTAAGCAACGCATGCATAAGCTTGATCACTGGCGTCTGAAAACACGTGCAACTCACGACTAACTGGGCCGATAAAATTTGAATAACACCGTGGAATTGATAGTGACTTTAACATTTCAAAACCACGATACCACTCTAACCACTTGACACATTCACTCTGGGGCAATTGGTCATCCCAACCAGTAACTAATCGCCATGTTCGTTGGAATAAAATTTTGCCCTGTGTGATAAATGGACATAAAAAACCTAATGGATCAAAAATTCTCATTAAATCCTTTAAAACTTGGCGTTTAGTGTAGTAATGATTATGAGGCTGTTGAACATTGACATTAAAACTTATCGAATCATTTACAGGGTTCCAAAACAAGCCTAAAACACGGGTAGTTGCTTTGTTTATGTCAAGGTTCACACTAGTTTCACCATCTTTACGCAACACACTAGGAACTAAACGCAAAGCTTCCGGTTTGTTTGATATCCAAGCACGCATTTCGAAACCGCATCTACTGTGAATATCTACGATATCCCCAGCGAGACGTGCAGCGACCTCAATATCATCTACACTACCAATAAAATCATCCATGTAGTGATCCTCAATAATAGCTTTCGCCGCCTCAGGAAATTGCTTTTCGAAATCCCTAGCATTCTTATTTTTTACATAAATAGCAGTGAAAGGAGACGACGCGGCACCAAAAATAAGAGATGACATCCTAAACTCGTGGACTGGGCCATCAGGTCCATCTGGTTGCCACAGGTAGCGTTGACAATCGCGATCCGCTTCACGAATTTTAATTTGTGGAAACATTTCCTTAATATCTCCTGACAACGCCACCTGCCCTTCCCTAAATCTAATGAGAATACCTACTAAAGATTGAAGTAAGTCTGGGCCTGGCAATAGTAATGAATTTAAACTGACACCGTTGGATTTGGCAGAAGCATCGTGAACGATCCTCAGCTTACCGGGCTTATTGGGATTCGTCACACCGAAATGAGGCAAATACCAACGCTTACAGCCTGAAAGAGCATTATCAGAATCGTTACACTCCTCAGCGTATCCTTTTTTGACATAAGCTTCAATGTTTTCTTTATACAATAACTGATAATTAGGGTCCCGCTTGAATCGTTTATTTAAACCATTCAATCTTGACAAAGCATGATTATAACTATTCGGCATAATTGGTGAATCATAACGCCATGGTAAACCTACCTCAAAACGACCATTCGGAAGACGCTGTATAGTCTTATCCAGAATTTGAATCGCTCTTGTCTCAGAAGCGGTATAAGGTTCACATAGTTTTAAACCTATTGCGTCTAATCTATAATAATCTCGAATCAACGTATCAAGATCATTTTCCGTTTCAGAAAACACACAATGATTAATGAACTGAATCGGTTTAGTAATCTTTGAAGCTAATCCATACAACACCCACCCGAGGGCCGTACGAGTGGCCACAGGTTGGGAACGAGTACCTACGCGATTCTCTTTGGCAATTAATAAATGCCAGTCACTCAAGCCTATAAGAAGCTTTGGAGTCGCATTAGAGTATGAAAGAACGTCAATAAGATCACACAAATGTTCTAAAGGTAACAATTCATTAGCAGAAACCGATTGAGACGCTAATGTTAAATCGGGTACAGCTCGGGCTCCTTTAATAGTATAAACCTCAGAGCAATGTTTACCCTTAATATTAAAATCTACTAAACTAGTAGTGACACTACGAGTACCAACAACAGTTGTGATGTTCATATTTTGTCGAGGTCCACTAAGACCTAACTGCTTCGCTAAGTCGGCATCAATTATTGAAACGGAAGAACCATCGTCTAAAAGTGCAAAAGTTTCGATATCGGCAGTTGGACCAGATAATATAACAGGTAAAATTTTTAAAAGTATCCGATCTTTTTGCACTTCTTTATTTGAAAAAGAAACTGCATTGCTAGTACTCGTACTCGGAACTAATTTATTATTAGAAGAAGAATTTATATTTTCGTTTTGACAAGTGACAGTGTCAATATTTGTATTATGTAAATTTGAAATATTTGAACTATTTTCTGAATGTAAAAATTTATGATGGTTTTGTTTACAAATATCACATTGTCGAGCTTTACAAAATCTCCAACTATGCTTACCTCTCTTTAAACACCTCGGACAAAGTTTTTCTTGTTTCACCCAAGTGATACGTTCGTCAACTGCAATAGCTAAGAATTTGAAACAGGTCTTTATACTATGTGGACCAGAACAAAATGCACAGGATATAGGCGATTTTATTTGAAGTGGCACAGATGCATTGGCAGTATGCACTGTATGTCTTGAAGGCGCGAAGCGATATGCAGCCTGCGTACAATCGGTGCGCGGCGCCGCAGATGTGGCCACTGCCCTCGTCCTCTCTGTATGAGATGGGACATACACCGCCTCATATGGCAGCCCAAAACGTGCTTGTTTATTGGCCTCCTGCAATAAAAATTCAGCAAGCAACTCGAGCTGTGGTTGACCGGGTGTATGGTGTGCCTGAGCGAAGTCACACCATTTGTGATATAATAAAGGTGTTAATTTAGAAATAACGTTGTGTAATAATTCAGGTGAATAAATGTATTCTCTATGACCTAATAAATTTATTACATTTACACTGCTTTTTACTTTTGTGGCTAAAGTGAAAATATCATTAGGCTGTCTACCCAACTTAGGTAGGGCTCGAACTGCGGATATCTCCGACAAAATAATTTGCTCAGGTCGAGCAAAACGTAGTTCAAGAGCTTGCAGTACATCCTCTGGACATGAAGAGGTAAGTAATAACACCGAGACTGCCTCTCGAGCATTACCACGTAATGCATTGCGTAGCCTAGACATATTTTCGTGAGGTGTGAAATAGGATTTGCTATCGTCGTAACTCTTTTTGAACAATAACCACTCATGAACGTTACCACTGAAGGTGGCAAGGTCATCAAATGAAGGTCTAGCAGATTTCTTAGCTAAGGTGAAAATGGCATCTGCCAAACGACCTAGTTCACTGGACTGTAGATCCATAGGTCGCTGGTTCAGATCCGGCTCGAAGGACCAAAATATGTGGGCGACAAAGGAAACCAGGAATGGAAATTGGAAATATGTATATAATAGTCAAAGGAACTTAGAAGACTAGGGCCGTAAAGGGAAGCCAAAAGGAAAACAATAGATATGCGTGTCAATTTCGAATTTGGTAAATAATAATATAGCTATAAATAATATATGTGGCCTGTACTCCACAACTACAATTATGGCAGCAGTATGACAAGGATTTCTACAAGGTTTTGCATTGTGTGTAGAGGGTTGCCGGGAAAAAGAAAGAATTATTCATTATTAGAATTATAGTTGTATATTATATATATGCTGGGCGTGCGGTTCCGGTATAAAATAGGCCACTCCTTCCTTTCCTATGTGTGTCGTAAGAGGCGACTAAAAGAGGGTTAAGGATTGGCAGCAAACAACCTATGGGATGTTCTTGAGTGGTGCCCTTGTACGGACAAACGCAGTGTAGGATGACCCCTTACTAGATGGAGTGACGACCTCAAATGCATTGTAGGAAATCAGTGAATGCAGATGGCTCAGGACCGTTCCTTATGGCAGTCTATATGGGAGGCCTATGTCCAGTAGTGGATGGATAATGGCTGAAATAATGATGATAGTACTTAGAAATGGTAACGAATAAGGTGTAACATGGATATCACAGTATGTTCTGTGTATAGTGCTGTTCATATCTATAGGCAACGGTTACTGCCTTCTATTGTAATGGTAGGTGGTTGTTATTCTAAGTATCATAAAAACAAAACAATAAAAACAAATTAGGGGCAATTAATAAGAGGCGCTAATTAGAGTTTCGTCGACGTTTCTTATTCTCGAAACGATTATGTGATCTATTTACTTTGTTGTACTATATATATAGAGCTTGAACAAAGTCTGCTTATTAAATATGTCGATACATTACAGAGCTCTAAATGAAAATGATAAAGTGCGCTCTGTAACCCCATTGATCAATATTCAATTCAGCGCGTGTGAAGTGAAGTTTGATCTATGCGATGTGATAAATTATTCATGATCGTGACGGTTACGTCTCGCAATCAGCTCGTGTGATAATTCACTTTGTGCCCGGCCCAAGTTCCGTAGATTGGAGACCTTGTGTCTAATTTAATAAAATTATAAGGGAGGACGAATTGTACTGAAAGGGTGGTAATTTATAATGAGCCCTGCTTGCATGACTTATTATTATTATTATGAGTAACAAGCATTCGTACATTTTTGTACATTTTGCTTCGTAAGCAACCACTTCAATCCTGAAAACGTATTAAAAACGTATTTCTTTATTATTTTACTTTCAATTCGTACTCTTCAGAGCTTTGTTTATTTTAAACGCGTAAATTTGTTGTACTGATTTTGGTACTAGACTTTTGAAATCGGTATATAATAATTCATACAAACAATAAAATTTTTAAAATGTACTCATATGTGAAATATACAATTTTGTGCCTTTAATTTCTTACTTAATATATATCTAAGTATTACAAACATAATTCTAACTAATTACATTGTTAAAACTAATTTTAATTCAAAAGGAAAAAAAAATCACAATTTGTTTTGTTTATAATTTCCGCCAATATTGCAAGAGCCTGTATTATGTGACTTTATATACGTGTATATACGTGTGTGTTAATGAGTGTTTGTGAAAATTTTACGAACTTATTATGTTTGTTTTTTTTACTATTAAATCACTAATTTACATATTATTGATCTCTCTACTTTCTTTCCTAAAAATATACAATTAAAAAAAATTAATCTACTTATAAGTGCCGAATAGTACGGGTATTTTTGTATCGTATACAATAACAATAGTTCATTTTTTTTTTCCAAAATATATTGTATTTATTACCTACACATTCAATTACCTTACGTTTTAAGCGAAATAGCTAATATAATATTGTCTATATGCAGAAGATAATTAACAAAAGTTCTCATTCGTACTAGTGCATTAATATTTTAATAGTTTGTAGTTCTGTCTGCAGTGTATTTTAATTTTAAACTATGATCCCAAACAGGGTCATCTATCTTATTGCCGTGGTTATACGATCAGATTTGATTCTGATAATAAATGGATGGAACCCACATTCAATTTATATAGATGCTTGCTTTGTGCTGTCCATATTATTTCGTATCATAGTAGAACTTTTTAAAGTTCCTTACCTACATTTCTTTTAATAATGATGTATCTAATTTAAAAAAAAAACACTGTAAACCTTGCGGATAATATATAAAATAAATGAAAAATATGATTACAACTTTTCCTATAATACATTATTTTTAAATTAAAGTGAATCATCTAATATTTAATAAAACTTCACCCGTTAGCTTATCAAGATCATCGATAATATAATACTATGTCAAGATTAATAGACATCGTAACCTTAAAAAAAAAGAGCATATTCCTTTTTAAAAGACTGGCAGCTGTATGCTTTTTTGCCCTTTATCTTATAAAAAAAACTTATAGCTTTTTATCTAGTACATATAGTCGATTAATAACAAATTAGATATGTTCACGAATTCGTCTATATAACCAGAATAAATCAGCCTATACCGTTCTCTATTTCGAATATACTCGTATTACATGTATGCCAAATTTCATGATTACTAGATATGCAGGTAACATGCCAATATATAACAAATAAACAGATACAATATTTAAGACTTTCATATTTACTTATTATATTATTCGTAGTAAAGATAATAGAAGTTTCACAAAAATATCCGAAAGTAATATCGGGAGAAGAGAAAAATTCTTTCGTCGAATCCGGTTTCCAACATTCACTTTAGTAAGTAATTGAAAAAAAATATTTATACTGCTATTCTGCCATTTTCCGCAGAACAGATTCGCTACTAGGTGTAATATTAAAAAAGTTGGAAAGACAACTTTTGATTATTTTAAGAAGTACTGCAAGAAATTCGTCGCAATTCATTCGGACATTCTTACATGTAACACTAATAAACAAAGAGTCAAAACGACCAACAAAAAAACTGTGAAGGATTCCAAAAACCATCGTTTTCGGTATTATTTACTGTATTTCTAAGTACATTTTATGTAAAGTTTTCTTTCAAAAGCCTTAGTTTTTGCTTCGGTATCATATCGTATACCCATACACAACATTTCTAAAAATATTTATTGTATGTAAAATTTTTGTTACAAGTAGGTACGAGTTCTTTTTTTATTTTTTTTTTATACAACTTTGAATGGCAAACAAGCTGACGGCCCACCTGATGGAAAGTGGTAACCGTTGCCTATAGACATGAGCAGTACCATGGACATAACAGAGTATACTGTTTCGCCCATGATACCCCCCATGCGTTACCATTCCTGAGGACTCAGGTGTTATTCCTCTGTACCCAGTAAATTCACGCCATATCCCACCCTTCAAACCGAAACACAGCCATGCAAACACAACTGCTTCACGGTTAAAACACGAATGTTACAATTACGTTGCCGCGTCAGATCAAAAATTCTATATTATTCATGTAACTTACATGAAAAATTCTCGTTCTAGGAAAAATTCAAGCGAATATACTAACTGGTTTTTTCTTTCATTAATGCACTTAGCTTAATGCATTCCTGTGTGCTTGCACCTTTATTATATCACTGCATCATATTCACCACTTCTAATAGAACGTGAAATAATTAATTTATACTTTAAATTTGATCACAGTATTTTAATTCTATTAAGTTTTATGTAAATACATATATATGTACGTATATATCATCACGTTATGATGTTAAGGGGCACTTGACAAAACTCATTCGGCATTTTTCATTTAATTTTAAAAGCCCTCGTTATACTGTTGGATGGGACGTTACAAAATTTTATAGAACTTGGAAGTTTTTTTAGCTGGCATCTCATTAGACCTTTTTATAAAAATTTATATAAAATGTCGAATGGCGGCTTATTTGAGATTCCATCAATTTTCATGATAACCTAATTTTGACTGACATAGGGTGAAAGAGATAGATAAACTAATATAATATATCACCTACATAGTATTCGTATTTTTATTTTAGTTTAATAAATATCTAAATAATCATGATAAATAAAAATGCCGAAAATTACGAATATATTGTCTCTATAAAAGATGAATTTGTGGAAAATGATTTTTTTTCTACTTTTCACGAAATCATACAACCAACTTAAATTTTATCAAAAATAGCACAGGACTCTTTGAAAGGATCTCCCAATTGAAATAAAAAAAAACCAGACAGGTGCGGTCCGGAGTTGTGCGGATCACCTCTTTCCTTCCCGTTGGTATCGTAAGATGCGATTAAGAGAATTTAATGAACTAGGAATAGACATCAGCGTCCTTCTTATTATATTATGAAAAGTGCTGTTGCCAACCCGCCTACCAAGCGTGGCAACTACGGGCAAAACCTTTATGGGGGAGGTCTATGCTCAGCAGTGGACAGTAATGGCTGATATGATGATGATGATGATGATATGCAAAACTGTTCCAAATTTTAAATTAATAGCTTTATTACTTGCTGAGATATAATGCTGTAACAGACGGACATATGGATGGCCGTCTGGATGAAGTCGCACCATAATGATTCCATTAAAAAAAGTAATATTAAAAAAAAGTAATATTAACAGGGTTATTGCGACTATAAGACCTAGAAGAGATTTTTAGAAAACGATCATGCACATCTTTCTTTTTCAAATCTATTCATTTAAAAGCATCGTCACAGCTGCCTACTAAGCCGGTCTGAATACATTATTCATGGCTCATTTCCATGAAAGGTAAGTAGTTTTAAATACGTATTTATGGGAACACTAGTTACTTCCGCAAATTCGTCGGCTAATGACCGATTGCTGGAATAAAATTAAATGTTACTTTACCTACAATACTCGAATTTGGTATAAATATTGCCGTGTGGTGCCAGTATAGAATAGGCCACCCCTTTCCCATGGGTGTCGTAAGAGGTAACTAAGGGAGGGCAAAGGATGGGCAGCAGCATCCCTCTT